CCGAACAAGCTAGTTCAATAAAGTGTTTATTATAATGGCTTTTTAAAAATGTGCTGATAAATTAATGCAACCATTCTCGGCTAACGCGCGCGCGCCAAAACTAAGGCATATTCTTGCATCTTAGCGGTCCGTATTGCAAAATTCGGACCGCTCAGCTAGGGAACCAATCAGAATGCTCCTTTTCATCGTGGACCAGTTTGCCATATAATAAAGTCAAATAAGGTCCGGGACAAACGTCGAAACTTTTCAGAGAATTAAGTTCATGAGAAGTTTGTCTTTTAAATTAAGAGCGACTCATTTATTTGGATCGACGTACTGTTTTTTCCGCCTGAAGCTGTCTGAAGCAGAGGAGTATAAACTAACGACTGAAGATCGTGTGCGTGTTAAACGTCCAACTTTTCATCACTCAACTAATTGCAATAATTAAAAAAATATATATGAAAATGTATATTGAAGCCTCGGATTTAAATATTTCGCATTGTCGACTGAAGAGTCTTCAATTTCTTGTCCCCGGAAGACATATGAAAGCATGGGCAATTTAAAATTATTTGACTCGGAAAGAAAATATGGCTGCGTTTTGGCCACATGTAAACTCGCACCTGTCCTGTAGAAACTTGCAGCTCGTGTTTTGGTTCAGTTCAATTTCAGACGAAAACATTTACAACGGAAGTAAATTGATAAAATGCAAGTTATGTTTTATTTTTCAGAGTAGTATGGCCATAAGAAATAATTCACAAAAGGCAAATTTCAACTGGGATATGAAACTCCATTTTGCATCCTTGTGACTGAAATAAATTTAATTTTTTTACGAATTCAAATAGAACCAGGAGCGATTATTGTCATCTATTGACATGTCTTGAAACTGGGTTTTAACAGAGATATTCACAATACAGTCGAATAAGAGAGATTTTCATTCTGTTCAATCGGAATAATATTTCTGACTTAGAACTGTTCTTTAGTCTGGGACAAGTTTGGTTTGGATTAATTCGTTGCCAGATCGATCAACACAACACAAGGAACCTGCGATGCACGAGCGTTGTTCATGTAGTTTATTGGAATTTTATTTACTTTAATTTTCTGTTATATACATTTTGTGATTTAGCTCCTATCATACAAATTATCGCAATGACTTAACTGATATTAAAGTAATCTCTCTCACTACTTCTGAGAGGAGCTTAGCATCAGTAAAGCTATGTAATCATAACTGTTAATAAAATGTGGCTCAAGTAATAAAATTGGTCAATATTGTATATCCATACTCGTGACATGAACAATACAATGAAAAAGAAGAATCATTAACTAGGTCATCTTCAGAATATAACACCTAAAGTCAGGAATTGATCGTATAAACAAAAACTCCGTCCCAAATACACCTTGTTTTCTGTACAAATTATTTACAATGAAGACAGAGAAAAATCGCCGGTAGACTCTGCGACGCCATGCGGTAAAATTCTCAGTGCTGTATCGCTGACTCTAAAACGTAGACTTTTCATGTCCAACTAAGCTAGGAATTATAGTTTTTGCAGTGGTCGAAATAAGCCTGGTATTTGACACGCTATATGCACAGAAACCTGCGCGAACACAGGAGTGCGTACCAGTTTCCCGGCCGAAACAAGCCCCTGAAAAAAAAAAGAAAAACATACTGGGAGCCAAATGGCCGAACACAGCCACAGGAAAATTTCTGGATTTGGCCTCCTTGATCAAATTCGTATTCTTTCGCCTTCGTCGAACGCAATTAAAGTTCAGACAAAGTTGTTGTTTTGCTGCTCGCATGAAGATGATGCGTGACGGATGGCGCATTTTTAACGTTCGTCTGTAATCCTACTCTGAATCTGCCCCGGCAATCTGAACAAACCTTACTCCTTTTTTGTCATATTATGTTTTTGATTATTACCTTTTTTTTGTTTTACTTCCTTAGTAATCTGTTATTTTGAGTTTTGTTTCGATTTGAAGGCAATTTTGTACATTGTAAAAATGTCTTAATATATCATGGTATCAGTAGCTACTTTGAATCTGATAATAATTTCACGCTATTTGTACACTGTTTATCAATTTGCAGCTTTACTTCAATCCGCCGTGTAGCGCTAAATTTTTGTGGCTTTACTTCGATCTATATAGCTTAAGTTTTAGAAGCAGCTAAGCTGTCTGATCGTGTTCTTCACTTGTTGTCTTACTTCTCTGATCTTCCAGCAGTACAGGATCGGGTTTAGAGATGAGTTGAAGAACAGTAGAGTTATTGTAGCTAACCAAGCCACGTCACTGTTTATTCCATTCACATAAAGTATAGCCGAAATACTAACGGGAACATAGCAGACAACTAATGCTATTTGAACCCACAAAATGCTAGAAACCGTCTTTTTGTATCTTGCTATGTTCAGCGGAATCTCTCCTCCGTTCGGTTGTCCTTGGGACGTGGTTTTGTATTTGAGCTTGTTGATGTCGTAGTTTCAGGTGGATCTTCGTGTAAGAGAAGATTGAAGTTAGCAGCGAAAGTATTATAATAACAAAGCTATTCCTTCACTGCAATATCTTCTCTCCACATCACATTGCTCCACCTGAAGCACCAATTAACCAAAAACAAATGATAACTACCCAAACTCGCCTTAATGTCACGACATGTCTGTATCTTAGCCCCAACAACAGGGCGAGAAGTCTGTCCACACTGATTGCGGTCGACGTCAAAGATAGATATTTCACACAAAATCATACCTGAAGTTTGATAAACTTTGGTAACATAGTACAAAACATTCACGTTCATCTGTGTTATACCAGACATAATCGTAGTTGCAAAGATTGGCTGTACAATAAGTCCAACACAAAGATCAGTGACCGCCAGGCATCGAAAGAACAGTTTTGTTGGAGGATGAATCGATGACACTCTATGAAGAGCAATGAGTGCTAGAACATTGCCCAGAAATGCAGTGATGGAAAGAAAAATGTTCAAGGCTGTAAAAATTCAGCCATGCCTGCTGGTAATGCGCTGAATAGTAGTAGTATCTGCTAACATACTTTCCATCTCAAGTAACGTTCGCCATTGTTCTTGGGTGGGCAGAAAATTAAGCTTCTTGTGAGAGTGTTTGTTTAGTTGAGGAAAAAACCATCAGCTTGCAGCTTTGTCAGTGGGATGATGATTATATATGTGGCTAATAACAAGTCCGGATGTGCTTCATAACTGTTTTTATTGGTTGTCTATTAATTTTTTAATGTCCCGCACTGTTTAACCAATGAGGGACCGTAAAAAGAATCAGACTTTTAAATTTTGCTTTGCTGTCATTCTCTGGAACTTATGGAGACACGTTATTAGTTATGTTAGCACTCGGGTATATTAACTCGCTTACCATAATAAAACGAGATTGTGTTATTTTTTTCCTTGCTGTTAGAGTACGAATTAATAGAAAACAAAAAGCTAGTAAAGACCAAAGGAATAGCATCTTTTTAACACAAAAAATAAAGGTTTAGGAAAGGAACGGGCGCATTTTCAAGTTTTGGATTATTTCTGGGTCAACGTTTTATTGAATCTATGTGATTCATATAACAGCTGTAAACATGGCCTTCCTCACCATGAGTCCTCCATAGCTCGTCTAAACCGGCACCTGGAAGGTCATGGGTTCGATTCCCGTTGTGGCATGAGAGCATTTCTTCATTAATTTCAGCTGTAAACAGTTTGTTTATCTTAGCAATTAAAATAAACCCAGATTTGTCAAAATCGTTCACGTAGCACATCGGGTTTGATTATTAAAACTCCTTCATAATTGTGGCTGAATTGTCAAAGGTAGTGGCATCAGATGTTATTGAACTAGCGTGAAGTCCGTATTGGGGAAATAGAGTATTAAGCAAAAAACCTAACAAAAAACCCCTATTCAGACAAACAAAATGGCGATCGAAACTTAGCCATATATAATAATTCGGTGTTATTTTCTAACGCTTGCAACAATTTACTAGACTCTCATTTTTCGATTGGAATTATCAAGTAAAATCATGACGCTAAGCAGCTGACTCATTAAAAAAAATCTGTCAGAGCATTTTAGACAATATCCCGCTATTAAATGTTAATTAGGCGCTTTGATTGTGTTCTGAGGTGCCTAAGCGCAGTTTCTCAAAATTAAATATTTTGAAATCGTAACTATCCGAGGTGCTCTCCATTTACCTTAGAAAGTCTTTAATATCATCAAAAATCTTTCAGCCGAGAGGAGATACATATAGCTTTAATTTGTTGAATGATTTTCAATTAAATTCTGGGTGATACACAAAATCGTTTGTAAAAAGTTCAGTGTTGTTTTATTCAAAAACCGCTTTACAGATTTTCCTGAAATTTTTCGTCTACAGGTGAGTCAAACTACCATACTTTTAAAATATTATAAAATGGATCAGGATGCAATGTTTCTGACTATATTTCGAGAACATCAGCCTTGTTAAAAAAACCCCTAATAAGTTTTCCGAAATTGTTGCTAATTATAAATTATGTTGGCTTGGAAACCAGTGGGAAATAAAACTATCATCATGGCGTGATCATTATGGTACATTACAGCAACAAATCGAAGTTTGCGTTTTGAACGAGTTTTTGTTTTAAAAACCTCTCACCCACAACGCTAAAAACTACAATGCGAGCCACATTAAGTTTTAGAAGCATCTAAGCTGTCGGCAGAAATATTAATAAGATAGATTGTTTATAGAACTTCTCATGGATATATTTCTGTATTTTTATTTTTATTTTGTAGCCTTTTTTTTCGCTTTTCTTTTCTCGGAAGATACTAGCTTGTGAGCTACTCTTAAATTCAAGTTTAAATAAAAGTTTATGTATGTATTTATGTATGTATGTATGTATTTTCTTTCTTCACTTGTTGTCTTTACTTCTCTCATCTTCCAGCAGTACAGGATCGGCTTGTAGAGTTGAGTTGAAGCAACAGTTAAGTGTCTGTAGACTAACCAACCAAGCTACGCCATTTTAAACGAAAGAGAATTATATCTTCGCAGCTGAAAAGAAGGCCTGAAAAAATTTCAGGCTCCAACGAGATTCGAACCCATGACTTTGGCGATTCCGGTGGCAACGGTCTACCACTGAGCTATGAAGTCACTGGGAGCTGGTCAAGTGCGCCGTTCTATTTTAGTACCCGTGAATGTGATGAAATGGCGCTGATGAATATATGAAAATTAATTCATTTATGTGAACTGCGGGGTGGAAAAGAACGAAAGAGTAATAATAATAATAATATAAAAATAATAATATTTCTAATAGCGCCAAATGGCTACTAATCTGCCTCATGGCGCTTCTACAATAAAAAGTAAAAAATTAAAACAGCTAAAACAAACCGATACGAAACGGAGTAAAAAATACATTAGTTTAAAATAAAAGAAAGCGTTAAAAAGCTATCGTGACTTTAAAAGGTACGTTTTTTTTACACAATGTCTTCTTTTTTTAACACAAATGTCAATGGAGGATACAGCTAGAACCTTAAGTCAAACGAATAGTAGATGTTTCCATAGTCCTCGGTGCTGCCACAGCAGAGGCTCTTTCTCTGTATGTTTTTAAGTCCTAGCCATGCGCATGCGCATCATCGATTTACACTGCTCTTTATGAATTTTTGACAGGGAAAAACTGGCCGAACACGCGTCCTCTCTCGTACAGTCCGTCACTGCAATCTCTGTTTCCTCTGTGGCCCTGTAAAGAGAGCAGGGAAATAAGACACCTTGTATTTCATCTTTTAGTTTATAAAAACAAAGTGCCTTTGATAAATTTTGACAAGATAATTACTTACCCGTGAAAATTCTCCACTACAAATGACCATCAATACTTAGGAATGTTTTTCATTTTCTTGAGCAGGCCAAACTAGGGTACACTCAGAACATTGGGTCTACAAAACACGAAGCCGTGAAAAACATACAATACTTAGTACCGCTGATACTAAAAAAAAATAAAGAGAAGCATTTAGGGATAAAGAACTGTACTTACTGTATTTTAACCTCTCTCTCGGCAACCAGATGGTCGCCATCTTGAAGGCAGATTTCGTTCAGTGTGTGGCCATCCTGAGATAAAATCAAGAACAAAGGATTCATGTATTGGACGCTTTTTGCGATTGAATATCAAACGTTTTGGTTTTGTGTTTGCTTAGCTCTCTGATTGGTTCAATTGAAACGTGCAAACGTGCTCTACCTAATCAGAGAAAACTTGGTTCACGCGTTTCCCGCGCTTGGCACGCGTTGCTTGTTTTCCCGCACTTGGCACTGGTTTGCATTTTTTCCCGCGCTTACCGGCACGGGTTGCATGTTTTTTGCTTCGAGGTCTGATTGGTTAATTGCTGCGTTACTGCGTTCGTTTTGATTGGTCAGATGTGAGGGAAACCAATTTATCCACCAATCATTGGTCTGCACCGCTCTCCCACATCAAGACCTAACAGAAAGTGTTCAAAACGCGTTACCTGGTTAGAGTGTAGCGGCACAATCTCACTGGTTTTACCTGTGAAAATAATAGTTTAATAATAAGTACATTTGTGGTAGCCGCAGTGGAAGGTGCATTAGACTCTGGCTCGAGCGGTCTGGGTTCGAGTCCTGGCCGAGTCATGTGTTGTGTTCTTTGGCAAGACACTTTTAATACTCGCACATTTCCTCTCTCCGTCTAGGAGTATAAATGGATCGGCGAATTAGAAACCTGACAAAAATACTATTGGGTGGGGGGGGGGGGGGGGGGGGGGGGGGGGGGGGGGGGGGGGTGGGGGGGGGGGGGGGGGGGGGGGGGGGGGGGGGGGGGGGGGGGGGGGGGGGGGGGGGGGGGGGGGGGGGGTAGGGGAGGGGGGGGGGGTGGGGGGGGGGGGGGGGGGGGGGGGGTTACCTGCGAGGGAAGCATCCCATCCAGGGGGGAGTTATAATGCTCTTGGTGTGGTCAAGACTCTGTCAACTGCAGACATTTCCTTGATGTCTAGCATTGTCAACGGATAACGCCAATCTGAAAGACTCATTGTTAAATAATATCCAGGATTTACCTTTTGACTTCATCCAGCTGAGAAGCAGATCTTGATCATTTAATCCACCAGAGTTACACAGCATTATCTGACATGAAAGGTAAAGACTTGCTTTTATTACACTGTATTTGAAAGGAGCTATGTCACGAGTATTTTAAGTCTTTTTGCGATGCACAAAATTACCTTCAAATTGAAGGAAACCTAAAGATAATTGTTTATTAAGATACAAAAACACCAGAGGTAATAAGAAACCAACAGGAACAAGGATGGTTAAGGATGGAGAAGATTTAAGATTGCAAACGACGAACTTGAAAAAATTAGGATAAATATTTTCAAGATGCACAAACTGTGACGTAGCTCTTTTAATTCCTAAGATTGATCACATTCAATTTCTCTTTAGAATTTCAATGCATTGTCAAGAAGACAAGTAGTGAGAATATAGCAAATCATCATCTACACACCTTCATCTCTCCAATCGTAGTGTCCTTTCTAAAGTGTTTCTGAATCTCCACAGCCTCTTGGTCTTTCGACAATGAAATATGTTATGTTGAGTAGGACTGGTGCGGTATCTTCCCCCGGATAAATTTTGCACCCATCAACCTGGCAACAAATCAAACACATAGTCTGTAAATAAGCTTTTTATTAATAGGTGAAAGAACAAAAGAAGCGACTGGAGAGGGAAACGATTCTTTCCGCCGTTTTCGCCAGTAGAAATAACTATTCCTACCTCTTTCCCATTCCACAAAAATACTTCTGTGCCCCCGTTCATTCCACTTTGTACTAGAGACTTTTCGGGATGTTCTGCAATAAAATAACACGGAAAAGAAAATGAATTCTTTGACAGAAAATTAATCGCGATATTATGAACCAAAAGGTATATATACGCGAAAAAATTAGAGTCGAAGCTCCCGTAAGCGGACACCCTCGGGCACCAGAAAAAGTGTCCGTTTTTAAGAGACTCTAGCTCATAAGGTTAAACATGTAGTGTTTGTATGTAGCTGGGTACATGACCAAGTGTCTGCTTTAGAGAGGTGTCCGCCTAAGGGAGGTGTCCGTTAGCGGAGCTTCGACTGTATATGTAAGCTTATACATTGTTTTTCACCTAGAGTGATCAACTTACGTGTCAACTCTTCAAACAGATGGAGGCCTGAAGGTAATCTTCTTGCAATATGAAGAGTTTGACTTTCTACATTGTCTCTGAATGAATCCAACTAAAAAGGAACAAGCAAGTAGACTAGTAAGCAATCGCTAAGTACTAGTAGATTATGCATTGCTGTTCGTCATAAGATGAAGGGTAAAGGGGTTAGGTCAGCACTAGTTTATACTGTGGGATTCCTTGCTACATGACATTTTCGTGTGACATGTTAATTTCGCGAATTTTGCGATTTTTGTCAAAGTGGCGCGAAAATTAAGTGACGTCATATGTTAGCAGAGGTCTATTGGCTGTAATAAATCGCAAATTGGGGACGAGACGCGCGGGAAAGAGGGTCCCGCGGGAAGATCCCGCGCGTCTCGCTATCAATTTGTGAAACTGTGAAACAATACATATGCATGGTTGGGGGAAGTGGCTATTTACACTGTACCTTACAAACAGTTTGTAGGAGATCGGTTATGGAGTTTCTCCTGTCCATTGATATTATTAGTGCTCACTAGACACGCCCTGGTAAATAAAATAAAATGAATCAAAGGTTCCTCAGTCAAAATAAATACAAATCAGTTTTAATTTTCAAGTGAAATTTAAGAGAATAATAAGACAACTTACGTTTATCCTTCCAGTTTCAAACTTCAAAATTGCAATTGTCCCAATTGATTCCCATACATTTGTATTAACATTAGTATTGAGAATTTGGAGACAGTATCTCAAGACTGTTATTCCACTCTACTGTTTTATACCTGTTTCAGCACCAGGATGTTGTCTGTCACGGTATAGTGGTCACCAAAATGTACACTGACGGATATTTGATTTATACAGACATCATAGTCTTCCCTACGGAGAATTTAGAAATTTACAATGTTAGCTCAAGTTAACGTTTTTGCCTCAGGCGATGTTTCCTAGCTCCCTTCATTTTCCTCTGAACAATGTTAATCTGTTGGAGATGTTGTGACAGCGTGACTGTGTGTCACGTGGCATGTTAGAATATTGCATAGAATTATTGTTGACTAGCTACTGTATGTTGAGTTCAAGAATTTAGAGCGTAGAGTCTGAGTTCTCTGTGGAATATGAAGTTGGAGCCTGAATGTGCAGTTAATAATGATATAATGCGTCCTATGTCCGTTTGAATGCTCTTACAGTTTGGGTTTATGCCTATACAAGACTGCTTTTTTACTCTGACGACGACTGAGTGATGAATATAGAGTGTCGCAGTGTACTGAGAATGGGCCTTAATCACGCGGCGGCCATCTTAAATCCCAGAGGATTTTAAAACCTTTGTTTCCGCATCTGAAACCACGCGTAAACTTGTTTTGAAACGTCTGAATGCGAGGCTTGGGGGACCTTGGGGAATAAAAAGCTATTGTTTTTACCAACATGGCGGGCTGTGAAAAAGGCCCCATAGCAAGAAAAATGAACAAGAACCAAAATACTTTTGGTGATTCTTTGAAACCACTGCAATGAGTAAGGTTAACTTAATATCAGTTTCAAACAAAAGCTCACCGTTGCTTAAATAAGACTTTGTTCATTTCATCAACTTCAGCTCTAAGGACATCAGGGACTGAGAGAACTGTGGATACAGAACTTAACAAACTTAACTATGCATTATGAATATAATAGCACAAGAGGGCAAAATTACTGAATTCTGATTGGTTCAGTCAGAGGGCATTTTCTTTGATTCTTGTTTGTCAAGGGCAAAATTACTCCGAAGATTCCCGAAAGCTCGCACTAGGACTTCCGAAGAGTGGATAGTTGACCCGAAGAATTCCGACGATTTCCGAAGATGACCTGAACCCTTCCAACGATTTCCGAAGATGACCCAAAGATTGTCGAAAATGACCCGAGATCATCCAAAGATTTTCGAACGTGATCGGATGGTCAGCAAATATTTCCGATAGTCTCCTGAAGATTGCCGAAGACCACCCAATGTCTTTATTATACTAATTTTGCCCTTTATGTTATTAACA